AAAAGATAATCATTAAAATTCTCAACAAAATAGCGGTGAATACAAGTTTATGCAATTTCAACAATGGAGTATACAATTTTTTTTTGTATAAATTTCTCCACTTAACTCCACTTTAATGCCCTCCCCGAGTTGAAGATTATGAACCTCCACACCACTCTTAGATGGAAAATTTACCTTGGGCTTATTAGCCTCATGTGAGATAATAATTTCATTAAATTTTTCATAATCAAGTGTGGTGGGAGATTCAACATCAATTTATATTTCATTGAAATAATCATCCTCAATACATTGACTATGCTCAAGATGTTGTTTTTCACGCATAGCAATTATAGCATTAGTCAATGCAATAAGGTCATCTCTAATTTCCAAAAATTGTTGGGTTTCTTTGGCATTGACTTCCAATTTGGTATTGCATAAACTCGCAAAGAGTATTTTTCAATTCTTGTTCAGTTGAGTCCTCATATGTCGAATAGTGGCAAAATTCATTCGGTGGTGTGAGACTGGATGAAAAATTATAAGCTTCGTTCTCCCAACCATAACTCGGATAACTCATTGCAACATAATGGTCAGGATAAAAATTTTTGAGTGTCAATATTAAAATTGATCCTTCACATGCAAAACCTTAAACCGTATAATTTAATGGGCACTCACTAGTGATGTGCTCATACTCATCACAAATCTCATACACATTTTTAAAATTTGGGACATTTAACACATTATCATAAAAATTATGAAACATAACATAAAACACAACTGCAACAAATAATTTACAATTGAGACAACATACCTTGGCTCGTGATGAAAATCACGAGACTTACCTATGTCATCCCAAATCACATTCAAAACATGACACTCAGCCTTCCCCGACAACGACACCAAAAATTGCTTGATTATGATTCACCCTAATCTCCAAACATCAACTGGATTGTTTGTATATGGCTTATAAAAGGTGGTGACTGTCACTCTCCCTCGGGTTTGAATGCAAGAAATGGGAAAAATCATGTGTGGATGAACAAAAACGTGTGTGTGCAAAAGTGCTCCACAAGCGTAGAGAGATTTACAATATCGTGTTTTACTTAGAATGAGTATTCCAATGTCGTCTCCTCAAGGAAAGGTCAAGTGTTTTCAAAATTAATTTGTGAAAGGAAAAACGCAAAATATTGTGATTTAAAGTTTGTTGGTTTGTGTTTTGACAAATATACAAGTAAAAGGGGGGGGGGGGGGTTGGCTAATCCATCGAGTTCATTCTAATAAGTATGTCAAATCGACTCATTTCATTCAATCAATGGTGTCTCGGTATTTGATTGATTTGTAGGAAGTGAGCGACTAATGTGATTTTGTTGGGCAAAAGCATACCCCATGACAAGTTTACAGTGTATCAAGAGCCCACAACCATATCCGCACTCAATCTAGTCAAACCAAACACTTTACACTACAAGAAAAAATGAAAGAGAGTCAATTTCACATACCCAAAACGAAATCCCTCTTGGATTAGCCAACTACAGGTTTAGCTATGCATGGTAAAGGTAAGAACAAACATGAAAGAGAAAAACATGGCAATAAAATCAAACATAAACTTACATTAAGGTAAGAAGAAGTTTAAACTACAAAAGAAATAGCATGCATACACAAAATGTAAAGCTTAAAGAGAAAATACCCAAAGACAAGCAATAGAACTAGTAAACCCTTGCTAAACCCAATACAACATGAAATAAAAGAGATTAATGTGCTAGAAAGAAAGATTACATGTAGATTGAAGCTTACAAGAATGAAAATGGTGAAGAAAAAGCAAGAACCCTAGCTTTCTCTCTCTACGTTACTCCTAAGCTTTGGTAGCCTCCCTCTCTAAAAACTTGTAAAAATTGAATAATGGTGAAAGAGTTCTTCAAATTTCATCCATCCTCTCTCCTTAGCCTGTGAGAACTCAGTTGCAATGAGTGCGAAGAGATTGGACACTTCCACAAGCAATGATAGGCCATGCATGCTACTCCCATACTTCACCAACCACCCCTTTTTTCTCTCTTGCCTATCCCATGCTTTTCTCTTCCAAATCTAACTTTAGGGTGTAAGAGACCATCATAGTGTGTCAAACATGTCAGGGTATGGTTTAGAGGTCAAAATATGGCCCCCATGATTGGTGGAGTCGTGTTGGGAAGTGTTTAGGATTTCTGGGCAAGTTCTACCGGTACCTCGTAAGGTTTCTACAGGTAGAAAACTTCCAGTAGGGTCTTCTACCAGTAGGTTTTGCATGTCTTTTACCGATAGGTTTTGCAAGTCTTCTACCGTTAGGTCTTTTTGTAAATTTATCATAACTTTTGATTCCATCAACCGATAGAGTTGAAATTTGGACACAAGATAGAGGACATCCAGATCTACAACTTTCATATTTGAACTTGTTCAGATTCAAAGTGTTTCATGGTCAAAAATGGGAAAAACCAAGGTACTACTACCAATAAGAGCAAGTGCCAGTACCAAATTTCCAGTAGACTTAGATACTAGTGCCTATGATACCATGTACCACACTACCTCCTTGATTTTTTTCACTTTAAAGCCTCCTAATCCTCATGTAATGTGTCCATTTTTTAACCACTCATCTACAATTAGTTTCAAGGTTCCAAAAGGCATCTATTACTCTATGATTACTTGCAACATCAAATTTTTTTACATTATTCACAAATTCGACTAACTCTAAGTAATTAAATACAAAGTTGAGTTATAATTCATATAATGAGTCCGTTAAATATGCAATATTACGCGCTCATCAAGAAGGTTCGATAGATGTCGTTTTGATAGGAGGTTTCGAGAGTGGAGTAGCCTCTAGAGTTAGTCCAAAACTAGACACTCCCCCGAGCGTGGGTTTTAGAACCAGATCAATGAAATTGGTGGCAACCCTTTCTCTTTCCATTCCTTTTCTTCAAGGACTCCTTTGTGGTGTAGGAGTAAATGCTTCCTAGCCCGAGCAACTCTATGCTCGGCGAGTTGTTGAGAAGTCACAAATAGGAATAACAATATAAGAATGGTAGGTCGGTTCGTACCCGAGTAATACGTGAGCATCTCGGCACCTAAGTCCCTTTGTACCTAATGACCAAACTTTTCGTAAATTAGCATATTAACCCTTGATTTTGGAACTTTGCTTTTGATAGTTTCCCCCACAGAAAACCCAGACGTATGTTCCCAATTACTCAAAGCAAATAAAATATCATTTTCACGGACCATGTTTAAGTCAAGAAGGTGGGTGACAAAATAATGTTCGATTGTCCTAACATTAATGTAGTAGTTTTTTTCTTAGAGGTGGGGTGATGATATAACAATAGAGGATTTTCTAGAGGCTGAGATTGATTCCTAAAAGATTGTTTAAAGTAGCAACTCCAATACAGATCCTAAGGAAGTTGGGGGGCAATGTTTCAGGACATGAAGTATCTAGAGAAGCAATGGGTGGAGGTAAAACCTAACCCCACCCTCCATTACAACTCTAGTTAGGATGGGGACTAAGTGCCTGGAACTTGTCAGAGGTTCACCCTCGCTTGCAACCCTGATGATAATGTCATCAAGGATGGAATATTTGCACCAAAACTCAAGTACCCCGACCAACTTTGTGGTTAGCCTTGGTCGACAATGATTCGCACTGCGGTGTCCTTGGAAATCACATAATTGTGTTCACGTATCAGCTACCCAAAATGACTAATTAAGGAGTTTTCATTTGAGGTTATTATTCGTACATATATAGCAAAGGTTCCAATGCAAACTTTGAGTGTGGGATTCAACAAATGCTCCATGCAGATCGCTACAAATATGAACAGCATTTGATGGAAAACCTTGTTCTTGACTAAAAGGATGAAAAAGTTAAGTCACTTGCCTCATTTATGAAGTGTGCTAGCTAGGTTACTCAATTCTCATAATTGAGTGCCAAAGCAGGAAAAACATAATATTTGGATTCTGGAGTAGGACACAGGGTGATCTGCAACCACTTGAAGAAGAGAGGCCACAGTAGGACAAGAAGATTTGGTAGCTCAATCCTTTAACAATCAAAACAATATTTCTTTTTCATCCTATAGCGTAAGCATATTATATAGGTGAGAATTATAGATGGACAAATAATACTATTGGTAAATAAGTAAAACGACAAAAATAATCTTAATCTTTTCTGAACTACCAATACCATCAACGTTATAGAGGGTAGGAAGTTTGTTGCGTACTTGGGTAGTGGGGACCTGGTTGACTTGGTAAAGCTACAAGTACAATTTCAAAAGCAGCGAGGGATAAATTGGAAATCCAACCGATCACTTTCTTATTAGGGTTTAAGTCATTTCGAACTAATACACCAAAACAAGGAAACCCACAACTATCTCACCCCCTTTTCAGTCATCAACCACTCTATCTTCCCCACGTAGCCCCATCTCTCTCTCTCTTTCACTCTCTTTCTCACATGTATTATCATCAGATCTCTCATAATCAATCCCACGTCCAATTTATTGACCTTTTTATTGTTCTTTTTTTATCCTTTTTTACTCCACCTTGACCTTCATCTATGATTCACTCAGTATATCTCTGTGGCTCCTCTCTCCCTCTCCCTCTCACCCTCCACCCAATCCTAATGGAACAGTAGTTCGGTGGTCATTAATGCCTCTTGTACTGACTTACTGACAGGGTAGCTCTCTTATCTCTAATTGTCACCCATTTTAAGGATCAATTAATGCTCTGCAACACCCAAAACTCCAGAGCCAACGTCAATCAATATTGAACGTAGCGTTCAAGAACAACAAACCCATGCACTGGCTCAAAAACACGCGTCTTCCCGCCACCCAAGACCAAAAACAACCACCAACACCACCTGCAGAAGAAGATGAGCATTAATCTATAGAGTCAAACCTTTTATATTGCCGCTTGTGAACCTCTTCAAATCTTCAAAATCTCTCTCTCTAGCTTCATCTTCTCTTTTTTACCTGAGTTTTTTTTTTGAGAGCTTGTTACATGCAAATTTCGCCTTTGGAGCAACAGAAATGGCAATGCAAAAACAAGTTTTGTCAGCTTTTTTTCTTGGTCTCTTGATTGTTTCTTCATGTGGCTTTGCAATTTGCCAAGATTGGGACTCATTATCACCACTAAAAATACTTTTGGAGGTTAAACAATCGTTCGTTGAAGACCCACAAAATGCCTTGCAGGACTGGTCCGAGGACAACCCAAGTTTCTGCACATGGGGAGGTGTCTCCTGCGGAGCGAACTCAGCTGATGGCTCACTCCAAGTTGTTGGTCTGAACCTCTCCGAGTCATCACTCAGTGGGTTGATATCACCCTCACTCGGCCTTCTTCCTAACCTGCTCCACCTTGATCTTTCTAATAACCAGCTCTCCGGTCCCATTCCACCAAATCTCTCTAACCTTTCTTCTTTGGAATCTTTACTACTATTTTCTAACCTACTCTCGGGTCCCATTCCAATTCAACTCGGCTCACTCACCAATCTCCGAGTCCTCCGAATCGGCGACAATAGCCTCACCGGCCCAATTCCAGCTTCATTTGGTGATCTTCAAAACTTGGTCATTCTTGGTTTAGCCTCATGCAATCTCAGCGGTCAGATACCTCCAACACTCGGTAAACTCAGCAAACTTGAGAATTTGATTCTGCAGCAAAATCAGTTGGAGTGTCCAATTCCAGCTGAGCTTGGGAACTGTTCTAGCCTTCTTGTGTTCACTGCAGCAATCAATAAGCTGAATGGCTCAATCCCAGAAGAGTTGGCTCATCTTCAGAATCTTCGGCTACTAAATCTTGCCAATAATACTCTCACGGGGGAGATCCCAGGCCAACTTGGTGAATTGAATCAGCTTGTTTATCTAAATTTTCTTGGCAATCTGCTTGAAGGGTCAATCCCAAAGTCCCTGGCAAAAATGGTTAATCTTCAGAATCTTGATTTATCAGCCAACAAGCTCACTGGTGAAATTCCAGAAGAATTGGGCTGCATGGGTCAATTGAATTACCTTGTACTATCCAGCAATAACCTCTCTGGTGTTGTACCAAAAAGCATATGTTCAAACACATCCAATTTGGAACACTTAATGCTACCTCAAAACCAACTCTCTGGTGGAATTCCAGTGGAATTGAGAGATTGCAGGTCAATGAAGCAACTTGATTTGTCCAACAATACACTCAATGGGTCCATACCAATGGAGCTTTTTGAGTTGATTGAATTGACTGATCTCATGCTCAACAACAACACTTTGGTTGGTTCAATATCTCCATTCATAGCAAACCTCAGCAATCTCCAGACACTTGCTCTCTATCAGAACAATTTTCAGGGTAATCTGCCAAGAGAGATAGGAATGCTTGGGAAACTTGAGAATCTGTACATATATGACAACCAATTATCTGGGGAAATCCCTATAGAAATTGGTAACTGCTCGAGCTTGACAATGATTGATTTCTTCGGAAATCGGTTCACCGGGCGAATTCCGTTCACAATTGGAAGGCTAAAGCAGCTGAATTTCCTTCACCTGAGACAGAATGATCTGTTTGGGGAAATACCTGCAAGTTTGGGTAACTGCCATCAACTAACTGTCCTCGACTTGGCCGATAATCGTCTCTCCCGTGGCATTCCGGCAACATTTGAGTACCTTCAAGCTCTGGAACAGCTCATGCTTTACAACAATTCCCTTGAAGGTAATCTTCCAAATGAACTGGCTAACCTTGCGAATCTCACGAGATTAAATCTCTCAAATAACAAATTGAGTGGTAAGATTGCTCCATTGTGCAGCTCGAGTTCTTTTCTTTCTTTTGATGTAACAAACAATGCATTTGATCAGGAAATCCCTTCCCAATTGGGAAACTCTCCTTCCCTCGAAAGGCTACGATTAGGTAGCAACAGATTCACCGGAAAAATCCCTCCGGCTTTAGGAGAAATTCGAGAACTCTCACTTTTAGATCTCTCCGGTAATTCACTCACTGGATCAATACCTGATCAGCTTTCGCTATGCAAAAATCTGGCACACATTGATCTCAATAACAACCTTATTTCTGGGCCAATTCCATTGTGGCTTGGTAGTTTGCCTCTGTTGGGTGAACTTAAGCTCTCCTCCAATATGTTTTCCGGGTCTCTTCCACCAGAGCTATCCAATTGCTCTACTCTTTTGGTGCTTTCCCTTGATGCTAATTCTCTTAATGGAACTCTCCCTCTTGAAATTGGTAAACTTAAGTCTCTCAATGTCCTCAACCTCAATCGAAATCAATTTTCGGGACCCATCCCGACAAGCATTGGTGAGTTAAGCAACCTTTATGAACTTCGCCTATCGGGAAATGGGTTCAGTGGTGAAATACCCCTTGAACTCGGGAAACTTCAGAATCTCCAAAGCATTCTGGACCTTAGCTACAATAACCTCACAGGCCAAATCCCTCCTTCCATTGGAACACTTTCCAAACTCGAATCACTCGATATATCTCACAATGAACTTGTTGGTGAAGTCCCTCCTCAACTCGGCGAGATGAGCAGCTTGGACCAGCTTAATCTCTCTTACAACAACCTTCAAGGCAAATTGGACAAGCGATACTCAAACTGGCCCGCCGATTCATTTGCTGGAAACTTGAATCTTTGTGGGAGTCCTCTTGCAAATTGCAAAAACTTCAAATTCAGCAATCAGCAATCGGGCCTAAGCCAATCATCAGTGGTGGTGATTTCAGCAATATCAACAGTAGCTGCAATTATTGTTCTATTATTTGGAGCTGCCCTCTTCTTCAAACACAAGCGAGACACCGTTAAACGAGCCAGTGAAGCAATTTACGGTTACTCTTCCAGTTCTTCCCAAGCACAACGAAGACCATTCTTTCATAATGGTGGAGCCAAGCGCAATTTTAGATGGGAGGACATTATGGAAGCCACAAACAACTTAAGCGACGAGTTCATAATTGGTTCAGGCGGATCAGGAACTATCTACAAAGCTGAGTTGTTGACTGGAGAAACAGTTGCAGTTAAGAAAATACGAAGCAAAGATGATCTGTTGTTAGACAAAAGCTTTGCAAGAGAAGTTAAGACGCTTGGGAGGATAAAGCACAGGCATTTGGTGAAGTTATTGGGGTATTGTGGCAACAAAGGAGCAAGCTTGAATTTGTTGATATACGATTACATGGAGAACGGAAGTGTATGGGATTGCCTACAGCAGAAACCAGTGAATGGCAAGAAGGGGAAGAGCCTTGATTGGGGAGCAAGGTTGAGAATTGCAGTGGGGTTAGCCCAGGGAGTGGAGTACCTCCACCATGATTGTGTGCCCAAAATCATTCACAGGGACATCAAATCTAGTAACATTCTGCTGGATTCTAATATGGAGGCACATTTGGGGGATTTCGGGTTGGCGAAAGTGCTAACCGAGAATTTGGACTCGGCCAATACTGAATCGAACTCATGGTTTGCCGGATCTTATGGTTACATTGCACCAGGTACAGAACTGATTTTTCTTTTGTACTATGGATACCAGTTGAGGGTGGGCCTTGGCACCATGGATCAAAACTTTGTTAGTTTCGGTTAAATTGGAAAAGGAAATTTTGGGAAAATGTGTGGAAAATATTTCAAAAACTAATAGAAAAGCCAAAAAAGTGAAATTTTATTTCCAAAATATTAGCAGAAATACTATGAAACTTTCAAAAACACCTCAAAATAGAAATTTTGTTATTCAATCATTGATTTGTGTTGGTTTCCAAAGAAATTGAAGTGTTTCAATGGTTTCGGTAAAAATGAAACAAAATCTTGACTATTACAACGTACGGTAGTTAAATTGTTGTATTGTGATTTGGACGTCAAATATAGCAATTGTAAAACAGAGTCACCATATTGCGAAAAATGCTACATACTCCTGTCCTTTTTTTTTTCCATGCAAGGCATAACATTGTGTAGTTTCTAACAGACAATTGTCCTGTTTTCAGAATATGCCTACTCTTTGAAGGCAACAGAGAAGAGTGATGTTTACAGCATGGGTATTGTGTTGATAGAGCTGGTGAGTGGAAGAATGCCTACTGATGGGAATTTTGGGGAGAATATGGACATGGTGAGATGGGTGGAGTCGCTTATTGAAATGCAAGGATGTGTCCGTGAGGAGTTAATAGATACTGATCTGAAGCCACTCTTAACAAATGAAGAAAATGGAGCATTTCAGGTGCTTGAAATAGCTCTGCAATGCACAAAAACAGCACCCGCAGAGAGGCCGTCTTCCCGGCAAGTGTGTGATCTCCTCCTCCATGTATTTAACGATAGGATGCTCCATCCGGAGAAGATGAGTCCAGAGCTATATGCATAATTTATGTGAAATCAGATTGATTTTCGATAGATCAAGTGAACATTCATAATCGAAATCAAACTTCCTCCGCGACCACTTTTTTTTCGCTCTTTGTACGAATTAATCTAATGTGTTTTTACTCGAATGCTTATCAAAATTCTATTTACAAAAGTATGGGCATGTTTGGATTTTATTTAGGAAACAGTTTTTTTTTCTCAAAATATTAAAAACTAGGAAAACTTGTTTTGTTAGGTTTTTTTAATCTTTAATTTTCAAAAAAAAAAAAAATTGGGAATTGAGGTGAAATTTTATTGAGCAAATGGAGGGTGTTTTGACCGAATTTTGGAATTAGCTTTCAGAAAAAGGAAAAACACAAAAAACAAAAACATGCGGGCTCCAATTAATAAGATCCCGCAATCAAATCTCGTTAGCTACAAAATATGGTCTTACTATATAAAACTTAAAAATCCCCCAGAATCGACGAATGCCTAGAAGCAACGAATTCCTAAGATCCTACCATTGAATCATTAAACGCCTTCTCCTACTTGAGAGCACTTACGACCAACAGCTTCCACGTCTCAACATCCTTAATATCTCCAAATGAGACACTTCTCTCTCTCTCTCTCTCTCTCTCTCTCTCTCTAAGCATCTATACGAGCTTTAAGTGGCCATCATCTTCACTTTAAGCCTGATTAGAAGAGAGCTCTCTCCTGCTAAACATGAATTGCACTTCAAGGTTTTTGTAAAAAAAAATTCACAGTTCTTGTGTTTTCAGATTTAACTGTTCAAATCTGGTTTTTACAGATTTGGGTACCGAATTTCTTTGGTTATTTGATATTATTTCAATATTATGTTTATGTTTTTGGGATATGACCAAAAAAAAAATCATATCTGTGACGAAAGAAGAGAATGATTTTAGGCTTTTATTTTGATAATTATTTAAAGTTGGGAAAAATATAATTAGAATCAAAATTTTTTTTAAGGAAACCATTTTCGGGTTATTATTTTCATTATTTTTTTGGATTACTATCCAAACAGGTTTTACTGTTTTATGTTCCGTATAACTATTTTTAGAATCATATGACCAAATAAATTCTAATAAACAAAAATGCAAAAATACGCTTTTCTAAAATCCTTTTTAAAAATTATTTTCGAATACTATTTTTTGAGATGCAATATAAACAAACCCTAAACTTCTTAAAGATGCAATTGAAGAATGTTAAAAAAAAGGTAAAATCCAAACTAAACCATTGTGGTTTGAGCTTTTAGCAATTGACCCAATGAAGTTCAACCAAGAAAAAAAGGGGTACAATTCAGTTTACACTTAGTGGTTTGGGCCTTTAGCACAAGACCCGCTGATGATTTGAAAATCAACAAATAACTCTCATATGGTTTGAAAATCAGCACATAACCCCTTTATGCTTATGGACAAAACTATTGTTATTAGCTTTTCTGTCAGAATAGACGACATGTGAGGTAGGGGCACTTGATTGCAATTGGGCATGGGAAAAACCTGTTTCCCTCCAAAATGAATATAGGCAAATGAAAAAAATGACCCTTTTGCACTATACTTAAGGCATTCCATCTAGAAGAACTCCAAAACTAGAGCATTCAATCAAAAAGATATGAATGGCTGTCTCAGCTAGAAGAATCAAGCAACCAAAAAAACTCTTTCTTGGTTCGGGATCTGGATCCATTCATATTCATTGAATAATTATATTCATGCCATTCAAAATTTTCTTAGTTAATTTCCAACATCAGTTTAGTCAACTGAAAAATATATCTTCGAAGAACAAAAAATTTGATTGATTAGAGAACATGAATTGACAAACTAGTTTTATAAAAATCGCAGAGAATCTTAAGTATTATTCATACCAAGAATTCAATCAAGTTAACAAATAATTAAAAGATTATACACAGTATAAAACTTTGCAAAAAAGTTATTCAATCAATCTTGAAATAATAAAATATAATATTAAATTCAAAAGAAAGAATTTCATAAACATAATATCCAAATCCAAATTATAGATCCATACTCTAAGCTAAAGAGTAAAATAAAATCTACTCAAAAGTGATGGTAGATCACAAAAACTCTAGAAAATAATGTAAAACTAGGTAAAAATATCTCTATTTCAATAGAAGAGAGTTGATATTTATACTAAAAATTCTAGGGATATCTCGAGGAGGTGCTCTCGCCAAATTCGAAGTCTCTTGAGTCAAATCCTAAGTCTGGGTCAAAGTGGCACATCTGGACAATAAGATCGCGTCCAAATGATTCACATTCTCTGGAAATTCACATAAATAGCTACATTCGGATGCTAGACTTGCATCCAAATGGTGTCTTCGTATTGTCATGGTTCATCGAACGATTCCATTACTGTCCAAACAATGAGAATTCTCTGCATCCGAATGGCCGTCATGCCTTGAGAATGTGATGGGATTTTGTTCATCATTATCACATCAATCATTGCATCCGAACGCCAAACTTGCATCATGATGCCAAACTTGTGTTCGGATAGTGCTAATATCTATAATTCCCTTGTTTTTCATGCTTTACTCCGATTATAGTGACTATTCACACTAATAGTAATGTATGCAAATCATGAAGTAAGTTACCAACCCAATAGAGTCTGCAAATCCTGAAAATGGTCAATCCTGTGGCCCAAATAGTTTGTAGATGCAATAATTTGTGCAAAATATGAAGTAGATATTGAATAATACTAATTATGGTATTAGACAAGACTTAGTTAATATCATGTTTGACTTAATGAGTGTCCAGACACCAATGTCAGAACAAGTTAATCAAAAATCAACTACCGTTATTTCAAATCAAATAGTAGAATAAGTAAACATTGGTCATACGGTGCTTCTTATAGAAAACCAGAGACCACCACCAATGGTAACCAGTGATAGACCAAGCCCAACACACCAAAATTATTTCAATATGGTGTTCAATGGGGAACTTGTTGAAATGTTCCCTAATTTCTTCCGAGGAAGAAATCCTAGGGGTAGAATTGTGCCAAGGACGGCCCATGATTTTTTTTGTAGAGACCATGAAAGATACGCTATGCCTCCACTGGAACCCATAGAGGAATTCAACCCAAGGGCATGGGGAAACCCTTTAACCAATATGAAAACTTAGAAGGCCACCAAAACATGACTTTTAACAAGAATCAACTAGTGGAGATGATTCAAGATTTGTATTGCCCTAGTCCTAGAAAAACTAAAAGGCCTGTATTTAGTAAACCATATCCACCATGAGTTGATTATAAGAAATTCCCAATGGGATATAAAACTTTAAAATCTCACCTTTACTCTAGTGAAGAAAATCAATCGACCATAGAGCACATAGGCAGATTCACTTTCCGCTGTAGGGAAGTTAAAAATAATGGAAATTTGAAAATCAAATTGTTGCCACAATCTTTAACAAAAAACAATATTTTCTTGGTTATTTAATTTACCTACCAATTCAATTCACACTTGAGAAGAAATGGAAGAGCAGTTTCATACTCAATTCTTCAAGAATAAACCAAAAGTTTTTGATGCAGATCTATCAAGATTAAAATAGAAATCAAATAAATCTGCAAACCAATATATTGATAGATTCAAAAAAAGGCAGAAACAAATATCATGTTTATTTTCCTGAAGTTCAATTGGTTAAAGTGGCCCATAATGGTTTGGACTTTGAATTAAGAAAAAAATCTAAAGGAATGGAGTTTAGAGATCTTTTTGAACTCTCAGCTAGGGCCACCAGATATGAGATGTTGCTTAGGGAAGAGCAATAGAGGAAAAGTAGTTCACTGGAAACTTATTTCCAAGAATTTGATGGAGAAGTTAGGGAAGTCACCAATTATTTGTGACACTTCGAAAAAGATTGAGGATCCTATGAATATGTCATCTAGCCATCCTTACAAGAAGGATATGCCCTCAACCTATCGACAATATTCCTTTGATCTGTTGATGGTTGATGCTCTGTTTGATGAGTTAATGAACCAAAAATTTATTATCCTATCATAAGGACATAATATCCCACCAGAAAAGGATAGAAAGAGAAAAGAATATTGTAAATGACATAATTCATTTAGGCATTCAACTAAAAACTGCATTACTTTCAGAAATTGTGTGTACGATTTAATCTAAAAAGGAATGCTTAAGTATGCTGCAAAGGAAGAAGAAACTATGGGTGTAGACAAAGATTATTTTCCTAAAGAAGTTAATATTAAATATGGTTTCTATTAATTTGCACGAAGACAAGAAGCTTGCAAGTTTGGTAGTTAGGAAAGAGAGGATTGTTCCCAAGATGAGGAAACTAGTTCAGAGCAAGCTTGGTCCGAAGGATAAGGTCTAGTGTGCCAAAGGAATGGCCAAGACAAGTGTTATACCACTAGATGATGTGGTAAGAGAATTTATAAATAAGGTCTCCAATTCAGCAACAGAGGAGAAGTAGATGTACAAATCTATAATGGCTTTGAGAAAATATTTGATGGTACAGACCCAAGTATTTTTAAATTGTAGGAAAAGTACTAACATAGGCATGGCCCTTATTATTTTCTTGAAAATCAAGGCAGCCCATGAAGCAATAGTCACCATAGCCAAGCCAAGAAGGAAATGCTACAAAGGATGGACCATTTTGTTGGACCCATCGATGGCCAAGGAAAATGTTTGACGAAAAATCAGGAGACTTGCAGAAAATTAGTAGACAAAAACAATAAGAAAGGCAAAACCAAAAAAATAAAGGGAGGTTTGAGATCATAACAAATGCTGGGTCTAGAACAATACATCTTCCTCAAGTCCATGATGAAAAATGACACCATGTTCAACATCCAAAATTCTCTTTTGGGTCATGGTACCAAACACTCAACAGGACTCAAAAAAGGACAGAGCAAACAAAGTTTGCTGCTTGGATGAGCATGCGAGATCCTACTCCTCTTGAGGCCTATTCAAAACCAAGTCCATCAATGGGGAAGAAAATTCCCACATGGACTAACGAACAACAAAAGGAGATCAAAGAAGTCAAACAG